CTTTTCCTTTTTTTCTCCCTAGTCCCTTTTATATATATATATATATATCGTCATTAACAGAACTGCCCGGTAAACCGTAGGCAGAGAGAGAGAAGAGGACAACAAACGAGGGGCTGACAAACTGTTTCGTCGGAGTATATATATATATGTTTTAGGACCTCGTTCCACCACACTTGACGAACCCTAGAGTCTCAAGTGCGCCCTAGTCCCGAAAATGTGATTAACTCACCCTTAGCAGAATCGTCGTTCCATGTGCACTAGAGGAAATACTTGAAACCGACGCCCTAGAGACGGCCGCGGCGGCCCAGACTGGTGGCGGTTGGTTTGGAGGTCGTGCCGTGCACCAGCACGGGTTTGCTGGTTTGAAAAATTGTCTGTCCGACGACGTGGTCGCGGGCCCATCGGGTCCCATACGGGCCCGCACCGCTTTTTTGAATTTTTGAATTGCGCGCCGCCCGCTTGGGCTGTGGGCGAGTCCTACAAGAGCCCCCGCCGCACAGCCAAGGCGTGCGATTGAGGAATCAAAGTTCTGGCAGCGTTTGAGGAAGCGGAGTTCAGCAACGTTCGGGGAAGAGGAGTAGAGTACGCCATAGCGGGGTTTTCAGTGCGAGGAGGGAAATGGACGTGGTGGGCCACACGCCGCCCCCCGCCCTCGGGTACCAAACGGAACTACCCGATCGGCACCCTTGGATGGGCCACAAGCCGTTGCGATGGCACCCGAAATGGATGGACCAGCGTATGGACCTGGATCTCGAGTTTGCGATATTACAAAAAAGAAATACGACACCGTTATTGCCGCCGACATCCTCTGGCCCTTGAACTCAAGGCACCTCGGGGAGGTACCTTGACTTCACGTACGATTTTGCCCCGGCCGCCCTCAGGTTTCAAGCGTGCGCCCTAGAGAGTCCGGAAGTGAAAACAAGTCGGCACCATCATTAGGGAGGGGTGGAAAGAAGAATTTCCATTCAACCCTTGAGTTCAAGTGTGGTGGAACGAGACCCTTAGAGCATTCTAATCATCCTTCGTCCTGCCCTCCCGTCCTCCTCCCTCTTTAAACAAGCTTGCCCCTCTCCCCTCCTTCCCCTCCTTCTTCCCCCTGTCCCTTTATCCGGGGACTGGTTGAATCTTGCGGGAGGCCAGACGGTCCATCCTTCCTATCCTTGCTAAGGGCCTCGCCTTTTCATGATAAGGTGGGCTCCGAAGGGTGCAACTGGGTGGAAGATTAAGGCCCTTCCCTTCAGATGGTTTGCTTCCTCAAGAAAGATGCATGTGGTTCTATCCTAAGGCTTAAGGGAAAATCCGGCTCCCTCAGTTTTCCCCCTTCTTCTCCCTCTTTTTTTTTTTTTTTTTTTAATAAGAGTCCTTGGGGAAATGAATCAGCTGACCAGGCCGTTGCCGTTGTTCTAGTTTACTTCTTCTGCCCTTGCTTAGTTCCCTTCCCAAAATTCGGGAGGGATCCTTGCTTGGAATGAAGTTGAAGATTAAATATTGAAAAACTGCAGGGGTGGGTTCCACTTACAACGTTGAGATTCTCAACGCTGAGCTTTCAATACACGCGAGGAGGGACAGGGCTCTAATGGTACCATAAATAGGAGGAATAACGTTAATGCCATTTTGCAGAAACTTGAAAATCGTACTGTAATTTGATTTGGCCACCTTTCTCCCTCCTCCCTTTTTTTTTTTTTTTTAAACCATTTTTCTCCCCGGAGGAATTCTGACAGCTGCGTTTGGCTCTCTGATATGAAAAGCATTTGGCCATCGTCTATGCTCATCTTACAAAATGGTGACCTCCCACCCACTCACCTCGGGGAATATCCCTTCTGTACTGGGACATTCACTCTGATTGTTCCAGTCATGTTTCATTTCTGTAAGTTACTTCATCACAGATAGCGGGAGAGCTTCAGAAAGGCATTTCAGCGTCCCCCTTCCCCTTCCTCCTTTCTTTCGTCTTTCTCTCCCTTGCTTCTTCAACATCGATGGGGGGAGGCCAGACCCGAAAGGTCTTCAAGCAACCCTACCCAGGCTGGTTCATCGTGCATCCTTATCCTAAAGCTTCCTCATGGTAGCAAATAGACGGTAGAGACGTTGCCAATGACAAAGTCGGGGTGCGAATAGCTGGAGTACAAATCAAAACGACAGAGCACCAGGCGTGAATCTGATGCAATGAATGGTTTTGGGCGAGAGAAATGAGGGCATCTTTCCGAGGAAGTCCTTGAATCGGGAGGGCAGCCTCTCTCCCCCCTTTTTTTTTTCTTTTTTTTAGCAAGAAATGGTCGACAAATGGCATCCAGGGCTTATTTGAAAATTTAGTCAGATAAGTTTGACACCAATTTGAATCAGATTCGGAATCTCGAAGGGTTTCTACTGCTCGCGACGTAGGCCTCGCCGCACCACCATCGAATCGTTCCCCGTCTTTTTTTTTTTTTTTTTTGACATTCGTAGATCAATGTACGGTGATACTTGCTTTCGCCGCACAGCACCGTCGAACAGTGAGGTGTCGAGTCTCTGACTGCACTTCGTCAGTGCTGTGTGGCGACGGCGGGCGCCGACTAGTGGGTGCCTGGCGGGACAGCAGTTGATCGTGAGGAGGGATCGGTACCGTTCCCGGGTCCATTCACTGCTTGATACAAGCGCGGATGGTCTGCAAACGGGACGGCGAGGCCCAACACGTCTTTGTGGAGACTGTGCGTTTCGACAGCGGATGCCGAAGCGCTTGCAGACAACGCACACAGCAACAAGTTGTCACTAGTCTGAGCGCCGTCGAATAATTCCGATGGGTTTTGAAAAACCACCGGAAGTCCTGTCGAACGTTTGCCTACTGCGGCGGGCGTTTTCGAGTGTGAACACCACCACCATTGAAAATAGAGTTCTGACAGGTGTCGAGCAATTTCTGACAGCCGTCGTTTCGACAGCCTGTGTGGCGACGTTCAAATGTCGAAAACTCGATTTTCGATGGTGGTGCGGTGAGGCCCGTAATTCCGGGCAGTCGGTGGAGACGCTACCGGGTATGAATCAACCAGACAGGACACCAGGGTTAAGCCTGACGAAAATCCAAGGTTTTCTTTCCTCTCTTTTTTTTTTTTTTTTTACTTGTGTATAGGATCTCGTAAGAGGTCGTTGCCAAGGAAGGGTAGACAGAAACAGATCTGAAATTAGCCAGAGCCGAACATCAAGACAAGATACAAGATCCGAACCCGACATAATTCAAATCATGTTTGGAGTATCCAAAGGGCCTTGCTGCTTGCGACACAAATCTGAAGGTCAATAGAGACGGCATAAACGACAGAAAGAGTCGGAGTGCGAGATGATGTGGACAGGTCACCAGGGCTGAGGGCCTCGCCACACAGGCTGTCTAAATGTGCAAGACGAGAATGAACTTCCCGCTGGAACATGGTCAGATGTACCTGGCACATTTGTCGTTTGCCATTTCTAAAGCCTGTGAGGCGAGGCCCTGAATCTGCCGAAGTGGACTGGGTTTAGGTGACGCAAGAGTTTCAGGGCCTCGCCACACCAGGCTCGAGATGTGAAAAAGACAAAAATGTGGCGGGTGCATCTGGCCATGTTCTAGAGGGAAGTTCATTCTCATTTTGCACATCTCGAGAGTGGTGTGGGATGCCCTCAGAGGCTCACCACACAGGCTGTCGAAACTCAGGGCATACTCACACGGGGACCAAATGAACCAAAATGCCAAAATTTGAGGCATTTTTGTGGGGTTGGCCCTGTACCCAAAATCCTCAAATCGTGACCAAATGTCAGCGGCCTGCGAGGCCGCGGGGGTACCCTTTTTGAGACCACCTCCAGAGGTGGTCTCAAATGACCAAACGCTTTTTTCTTTTCCTTTCCTCAATTTGTAGAAAATCGTAGAAGAATAAGACAACCAGCCGAAGTTGTTTTTCTTTTCTTTTTTCTTTTTTTTCTTTTTCTTTTCTTTGGTGTCCCCTCGTGTGACCACACAACCTTGCCCTGAGAGCAAAGTGTCAGGGTTGCGAATTCGTCCTTTCTGGACGAAGTCCGCATGTGTGACCACACAGGGACCAAATGACCCAAATAACCGTACCCAGATGCCTCAAATATTTGGTTCTTTTGGTCCCCGTGTGACTCATACAGGGACCAAAAAGCCCAAAATCCCAAAATTTGAGTCGTTTTTCGGGTCACACTGGGGTGGCACGGTGACCAAATCCTTCTGTCAGCGGCCTGCGGGGCCGCAGGTAAACCCTTTTTGAGACCACCTCCGGAGGTGCTCTAAAATGACCAAACGCTTTTTTCTTTTTGTGTTCGGGAATTCAAGAAAATCGTAGACGAATAAGACAGCACGCGAAACAACTGGAGGGGCGGGAATTGGGGCATTTGGGTTTTCTGAAGCCCGTGGCCTAGTCACACCACGCGCATGCAGAAGACCCAGCTCTGTACACTACATCCACGGCGCTTTGTCGTGTGTTGCGGAGGTGTAGCGCCCGCCTCTCCCCACACCTCCGCCGCTCTCCCCACATCTCCGCCTGTCTCCGCTCCGCCTAAGAGCTCAACCGTTGGGAATGCGTGTGAAATGTATGTGGTTGGTTTCGTGGGTCTGATGCATTCCCAGTGTCCTATCCACCTGTTTGTTTCGGCCCAGGGGAACAGTGTGGATACATGGAACTATTTGCATGTAT